CCCCCCCCCCCCTTTCTCTCTCTCTCTCTCTCTCTCTCTCTCATACACACACACGCTCAGTATAAACACACGTCTACTACATTGAGTATCGCAAGAAATAAGAAAAACCACAACCAAGTACCGAAAATATGTTTAATATGATAACATCATTCATATGAGTAGGTGAAACAGTTGCATAGAAATGTAGGAAATAACTCATATTAAAGTCCTGTGTATTATGCCACTTAGTTTATACTGGTGCCATTCTAATAATAACAACAATATCCCATTTATGAAACGCAACCCGTTTCCTTCTGGAAGCGGTGTTATATATATGTACAACTATACATTATATACATCAACATGCACACGCGTAACAGAACTTGGGATTGATACGAACTGGTACTCAGTATAAAATAAAACACCCTTGGATCATCAACTACGTTGCGTGACCATGTAAGCCCACTAAGTAGAGGACTATCGTCTTCCTAATTAAAAACCGACTACTGTACAGCCTGTACATGGGACCATATTGATTGGCATTCATTCCATGCCTTAATTACTGATTAGTTTTGAGAATTAGATTAACGTAGCGAATGATGTTCTCATGGCTATTTTTTGCTGATGTTAGCATCATAAGGTTTAATTGTCCAATCACGTTCTTGATAAGGTCCCATGGGACGAGCTTGCTCATAGGTCGGAGAAAGTCTAATTCCTTGTGTAAGTCCCATATTAAGTCTACAGTATTCGCCTCATTTATGTACTAAAAACCTTATCCTATCGACCTACTCTCTGGCTACAATCGACTTGATTTAAGCACGACTGCTGTTTTATATGAGTATTTAAGCATTTAAAACGAAATGTAAAATCCTTCAGTATTTTTCTTAATTTGGTGCGTAGACAATGTGTATCTCCTGCCACATTCAGCCGCTTTAAAATGCTGCAGAAACTATCACATTTTACATTATATATATATATAAAAGAGATAAGTGTCTCACCACGTGTATTCTGAGAACAAAACAAACATTAACGCTTTTCATTAAGAAGGCCAAATACCTAGAACTACAACTCAAATTAGCAACATTCCTTTATCATTACCACTGGCGCTTAAAGGTAAAAATAAATTGCATTATTTAATATGCATTATGGGTATTTTGCCAGGATAACCTGTTTGGATAGCCAGATATATAAATGGCGATAAGCAAGCGTATATACAATGAGTATTTTGCTCCTTCTTCTTAAAAAAACTAAATTGAAACAACAAGCTACTAAATGCCTACATGGGGCCGCCTAAAATTCCCCTTAACGCCCCCATCTCTTTTGTCATTTGCTCGGCAACGGGAAGAAATACAGTGCTGTTCCTGGCACATTAAAAACAGATCGTCCTCTGTTGGCTATTATATAATACAGTCATCATTTATTGACAAAGTGGGAATATTGAATGGCCCCAGAAGGCTTAATTGAGACTTCATCATGCAACACGTATCAAAATTGGGTATTGACATGTTAGCCTCTGGGATCACTGGAAGGCAACAAAAAGTCAAACATGAAGACGCCAAAGCGGTGAGTCTACGATAGATAAAAAATAATAGTCGGTCGAATCCGTGCAAAATTTATCTCCCGTGCTTCCATCATTATGTCAATGTATCTAGGTCCTATAGCCGTTAAATTTAATGATAAACGTGATTAAAGAATTTATTTAATAGAACATTCCCTTTGGGTATTGAGCTTCTGCGCGCGCCTCCCATATGATAACAATTCCTTGTTAGTAATACTTTGTTACAGTTTGACAATGTTTTAACTGGTTCTAACAATGCAAAACAATAGGCTAATAACTGCAATTAAAAAAAACATCAATGTTGATGGATGCAACTGTGTATATTTCCCATGAGACTTTGTGGTGCATGAAGAAACGGGGAAAAACATTAGAGAGACCTTGACCACAAAGAGTAGAAAAAGATAATTAATCACATAATAAAACACCATGGAAGCTTGCCTGTGTTCCCATCTCGTCGGTGGAGTTTTGTTACGTTGAGTAGGTCTACAGACATTTCCCCGGATTCATAAAAGGCCCATAACAGCAGATCCGGCGGAAGCACCAATGAAAACCACGCTGTCTTTCCTTCCTTTTAATCGCGTACATTTCTCTATCATATCTGCCCATCAGCTTGTCTTTTGATCTCGTAATTTCAGACAATGCACTGCTATAGGCCTTGGGTTGAATCATATTTCAATGTCACTTACACTGAACAAACCAGGGAGAGAGGTGTCAGCTGAGGAGAAGCAACTTCGCAGAAAGAATTACCGAGCCAAGTGCTATAAGCAGGCTCCAGGAAGCGGAAGCGGAAGTTTGGCGTGCGGCGTTGCACAAGTCACCGGAACACATGCAGAGGCGCCCGTTGCCATCTCTCTCCCTTCTACACACGTCCACCAGAGGTATGTGAAACACGAGGTCTTCTTCGTCCAGCGAACACGTTCTTCTGATTAGCAGCTCACCTGAAATATGTTGAATTTTTGGTACTATTTCAAGCTAATTTTAAGAATGAATTTAAATAAATAAATAAATAAATAAATAAATAAATAAATAAATAAAAAAAGACACAAATGAATCGTTCGAATGCGCATGCGTACTGACGCATACGTACATTGTTTTGTAGGAAATCAAAAGAAAGTAACAGATTCCCAATGTCGATCACCCTTGGGTCAAAACTGACTTGCAAATGTAAAAGAATATAAGAATCAGATATTGTATTTCTTTTCCCTTGTCGTTTTCACTTACTTGTGATTGGAGGAAGGGTTTACACAAACTGGCGGTTTACAGCATTCATTATGAATTATTTCAGATCTGAGTGTGGTATTGCAATATAAATACCTGTTCGATGAACACATAAATTACAACAAGATCAAAATACAGATGGGGGAAACGCCAAGAGGTGACGGAAGATGTCTGATCATAAACAATTTATAACAATGCAGTTTCACAAATAGAAGAAGGACAACACGTGCAGCGAGATGTATGCATGGGTCCTGTAGGGAAATGGCTATGTTAAAGTAATTTAAGACGTAGTTTTAGAGAAAAAAGGCCGGGGAATAGATATACTGCTTGAGATAGTTAAATGAAATTCATCGATGATAAATAAAATCGAAAGTCTCGCATCTTAACGGTACAGTAAAATCAAGCGAGATTTCGCAGGAGGAGTGTCTGGTGGGAAATAATGGCAGAGAGCGCGGTGCGGCAATGAAAAAAATCAAATAATTTATCTATGGATATTTTTCTGGGTGTTTTCTCTTTCGTTGTTTAGAACTACGGTCTATTACCCAAGTACAGATTCACCATATTTTGCGTGGCTTGTATTAATTTCTTACACGACTTTCACCCTATATCGCCAAAAAGTAGTACATTTAGTATAATTTATTACGCCACCTCTGTGCTCATAGGATGTCTATACGCATCTATAAATTGCTCCTTTCTTTCCAAATTTCATCTAAATATTAAACCCTTTGTTACGTCTGTGTATGGTTATTATGAAGACGGGGTTTCATATTTTGACATTACATTTACTGTTGTGAATTCTTTTCCATCATAACATGGTGGTCGTTGACATTTGCGTGGTGCATGCCACGAGAAGAGCTATTTAAAAAAATTCCACGAAACTGTATTGCAACAACAAGCACAGAGAACATCTTTCTTAATTATATAAACGATTGTCATCGGAATAACACGCAAAACTTCAGTGAATGTTAACTTTGAAAAAATTTAAAATATTTTAGCTTGAGATAAAGAATGGGCAATTGGTTCAGCTCAAATGCAGCGAGGAGCGACTTCGTATTGATTTAAGTGGTGAATGTTCCATTAAGCAGATAAACCACTGGATCCGAGTATAATACAATAGCACGTTATCCCGTCTGCCTGTCCATTACAAAAAGACACAATATATCTGGTGTGGAATCAGCCACAGATCATTGAAAATTGTCATTTATAAATGACAACGGTTGATACATGTAGATAAGGCGAATTTAAAGAAGACAAAGATGAGCCAGGACCGCCCCCTTCTCCCTTAGCTTTTCAAATTTGACTTGGCAGATGGTGTGTTTCAGGAAAAACGATGATTTACTAATGCTGCCATTTAACGGGCAATACCTTATACCCAAGTCCTGGATGAATACTCATGTCAGTGAGCATATTTCTGAATAGCTGTATAGTATTTGTGGGAGGTTGATAATAAATTTTATCTAAAAGTTCCACTGATAGATTCCTCAAGCCACAGATAAAAATCAGAGCTATTACCACTTCAATATTTCAGTTCTGATTTAAGTTGTTCTTTGAAAAAATTATTCTTGCAACTGTGTGTACATAAAACAATAGACGAAAGTCTTCGCAGGATTATAGCTTACCTTTGTGAAAATACGTCCATTTTAGACACGCCCCTCTTTTGCACTTTATGATCTGAATACCGCTCTCCTCCTCACCAAGGTGGAGCTTTTCGGCGTCGAAGGGATCCCCGCACGTGCTGTTTCTCAAAGGCCCCAGGCACCGATAGCAGTCTATAGTAGCTGTGAAAAAAAGTAAAGCGCGTGGTGAACACTGGTGGGTTGAGGATTTTACTGAATTCTGAGTAGGGTGGGGAAGGGTAGGGTGGGGAGGGGGATTAGAACCGAATACTTTTATTCGATATGTAAGAGGTTATGAGGACAATTTAGCTGTAGTATGCACGGCGCACGGATGGACCAAGTGATTGGTTTTATCTCGCTTCATTGGCTATTCTGTTTCTTCTTGGGGGGAAGGGGTATCTCAGGGGCTAAGGGGGAGGGGGTATGCACCCCACTGTATTCCAACCTAGGTCCGCCATTGCTCTAACCAATGTCGAGACAGACCTCTATCTAGGTGGTTGATTTAAGAAACAGACGATACATTCAAATGCAGGGCATTTCTAATATTTTAATATTCACATTAAATATGATAATTTCAAAGCACTTAAAAGTGCGTGTACGAGCGCCAGCAGATTGTGCCTGTGCACGTGCGCGTGTGCTTATGCATGCATGCACACGTATTATCAGTACAAAAGGATGTAAATAGCAGTGTTTGTGTGCCGTAGAAATAAAAAAACGCAGACGCTTATACATGTTTATAGAGATATGCTCTTACACTTATTCACATCCGTCCTCACATTAAGCACCAATCTACGGATTAGGAATCAGATGTAGAGGAACAATATTAATGCTCTGCCCATCTGCTACTAGTATAGAATATCTAATGCATACTTGTGCTTGAGGGTGTCTGTTAAAATACGTATTTTAAAGAAAAAGTTTCCGCTTTTTATTTACAAATCTTGGTTGTAATTATTTTTGTCTTCGTTATATTTTGGATATGCATTGCTTCCATTGCGCTTAACTTTTGAAAATCTGGCAAAAAATCAGTTCCAACCAGAAAAATTGTTTATAAATTTTGGGTATAAGGAAACACAACGGAATATTTTCCTCTTTAATACATGTATCAGTGTCAAACTATCCCCACAGCCTCTTAAAAATGTCAGTCAATTGTTTATAAAGTCTAGTCAGAAAAGCCCCTTTTGATGAAAAATTCTGCCAAACGCCGTATATCATAATCTTATCGATTTATTGATTTCTGACAACGCTTTTTGGCACAAATTAAATTCCGGTCGAGATGACGGTCGTTCTCACCCAAAACCGCTTTCGCCTCGTGCTCAAAACGTAAAAACAGAACATGCTTCGAGAAGAGATTAAAAAATAAGACACTGGATATAAAAAAAAGTCGAGTTAAAAGATACAGGTGAAGAGAAATAAAAATTTTTAGTGTAGTTACATAGGGATATTATGTTTACCACAAGCCAGGGTGAGGGCATCATTTCTGTCCAAAAATTATCGCTGGACAGTACAGAATTAGCCAGAGAAATGTATGTGAATACTGCCTGACGAACAAAAATTGTCTCTGCGACCTCAGTATACGCAGTAGCGGGCATAACACACATAGGGGGCAGATTTCTCGTTTATGTTCTCAGCTGGCCAACATGTATGCTACAGAAAATGACTATTGTCGTGACCTATTTGCCTACTGTGACCCGTGCGTTTCTGGAAAAACAATATAAACTCAACAGCAAAAACAAAAACAAACGCGGTACTACCTTTACATTTGTGATTTTTCTTTAACGTTTCACAATAAAAACACGACCGTCTTTCAACTTCAACTAAGTGGCTGAAAGAATAAATCCTTTAGGATCCTGGTCGACTTGAACGGGTTGACATTTAACATCCATGTAACATATTAAACTATGCTTATGCTTATATACAGATTCAGTCAATGCATTTTAACCTATTAACAAAACATCTTGTCACGAGAGCAAAACCTGATACCAAGCCCAACATAGTAACTGCCATATGAAAATACCGAGGCTGTAAAAACCGCAAGCTGCAAAATATCCCCAAAAAAACAAATAAATAAATAAATGATAATAAGAAATAAGGCAGTTAATTTAACTTGAAGTGAGGTTGAAGTGAGGTCGTTGTCCTGATCAAGTTCAGTTGGGTTTATTTTAGCGTCTGATGAAAGTCGACTGCTGTTGCGGCCTTAAATTAACGTTATTTACGGCCAATATTGCGCCAATATTTTATGGGAAGCGGCATGTGGCCCGAGGAGGTCTACTAGCAGGCAAAAACAATATAACGGCCCTTCATGCCGGCTACAGCTTTAACAACCTACTTACATAGTGTAAAAAAACAAGACATTTCATATGCACAACTATTAATGTCTGCGCTATAAGGTCTCGGATTATATTTCCCCTATACAGTTTATATAGTGTCATTTTGGCATAAAACTAAAAAAAGGAAAAAAATGATCATGAAAAGCGTGTTTTCAAAATGAATAAATAATAAAGTGGCTGGTAGAGCTCAGAGAAATGATGAAAAAATCTTGCACTCTTATTTTCAGCAAATTCCAGACCAAAGATGAAAATGAGCGTGCGCCGTAATCGAAGAGACAAAGACAACGTGAACGAGGGAGGATGTTCGCAATTTAAAATACAAAGTCTATTAGTGTAACATTCCCTTTAGTTTCGTCCTAGTCGATACTAATGTAACTCCAGCATAATATAATTCCCTTAGCCCATTATCTGATGCCAACAGAACACTGTAGTACAGGATACATAGGCGCCTGTACATCAAAGAAATTTCGAATTTGGTAAAATACGATATATCTGCCCGGAGATTGTAAAATAATAAAATTACCCTGGAGAGGCATGGCCGTTCGGTACCCTGTATTTCATAGCGTTACAACAAGGTATCGGGACAATCATTTTGTGTCGTTTTGCATCGTGCAGCTAAGGGGACACAAGTATATCAATATAAAAAATCTCTAAAGAGTCTCATCTATTAATTTGGCATATTTGTGGGAAGAGTGTCACGCCCTATTCTGTCCAGGCGTGCGCAGTGTGTGTGTGTGTGTGTGTGTGTGCGTGTGTGTGTGTGTGTGTGTGCGTGTGTGTGTTGGAGGTGGAGAATTAAAAAGGGCGTAAGAAACAAGAATTTTCTTCTTTAGGTTTACTTTTTTCAAGAAGTTTTGACAAACGAAACGAGTCCTTTGTCCTGCGTCAAATAAATGGGTCTCTCTCTCTCTCTCTCAATCAATCAAACTCTGGATCACCAGTGCTCCAGAATTAAAGTAATTGCCAGACTTACCTGAAATAAAATAAATAGGCCCCATGACATGGAATGTTTTAGGGTCAAAAGAGAGATGCCAACTGAAACAATGGCAGGAAGCCAAACCGATGAGTTTGCGTTCGGATAGACAGGTAACTCGATTAATCGTCCGGGTTTTGGGATCCCGCTGAGTTTGGGACCAAAAAGAAGAACCAATTACGAAAACCTCGTGGTCCATACGGCTTGTTATCTTATCTTTCAGGAGAAGTTTATGATTCCCATCTGTTTCGTTAAAACAAATGAAAAAAATACAAGTCTGCCCATACGAGTATATGCCACTTTTTTTTATAATCTAATGTATAGACCCATTTACGTACACACAGTGACGAAGTCTTTGTTGATTTGGATTGCTCTCTCTCTTTTTCTCTCTCTCTTTCTCTCCGGCAATTTATTTTAAACAATATCGACGCATTGAAACCCCCCACACACACTTAAAAAAATATATTTCCATACCATACAATCATTCTATACCTTTGGTGAACGTGGATGATGTGGCGAGGAGCAAAATCGAATCAAAGGCATAGAAATATGATATTAAATTTCAATACTGGCGCTTATTAATGTCGGTTCTGTATGACAAATAGGGGCTCTTCACAATATGATAGTCATTTATATTCATAAGTCTTCGACTGGAGTGAATTTGCAGCCTTTCTCTGAGCAGACTCCGTCTCAGGCTGTCAAGAATTCCACCACCCTGAGTATTGCGGTCTATCGGAAAACCTCTATTACCAGCAAAAGCAAAACTTTTCAAACCGAGAGATTCTGACAATTACTACTTAGATTTGGGGGTTAGATTTAATCCATTTGTAAAAGTGAAAATACCGGTGTGACAAGAATTATAGTCCTAGGAATGGAAGTCCGGGTCCCATATGATATATAAGTACAGGTTAGGGTTAGTGGGAGTATTGGGAATAGTATATGAAACAGGCACCTGTACAAAGTACTAAGGGACGGACTGCGGTTCCTAGCGGACTACCAATCCTGTCACGCGGCAATGTCAACTATATGGTTCCGCCTTACGGATTTAAAGAGATACCAGTTATTATATTGTTGTGCCATGTGTTAGGCCCCATTCCCAGAGATTAGATCGATCTACTTTAGATCGACCTAACTCCCTAGGGGTTCACGCTAAATAGCTGTCAGCGGAGCGGGTACGAAAGTTAATTACCCCCTTACAGCTTGTAGTAGGCGGGACGGACATTTAAGCCGGATTATCTGACAGTAATCTAGTGAGACTCCCCGCGGGGATAGTTCGATCTAAAAGCTCTGGGAATACGCCCTTATACAGCAACTTTTTAATCTGACGGGGTTACAAGATTGGCGCCGTTCCAGGAATTGAAATGCGTAGATCTAACGTTTATTTATATATTTATATTTATATAATATATTTATTTATTTATAAAATTTAGGCCTATGTCATCACCTAGCTAGCCTATGGTAGTGAGTAGAGAGAGCAGGGGTGTTCACAAAAATTAAAAACGGACACTATATCACTATAATATGCAAGCCACACCTTCTGAAAGAGTGCTTAGTTTAGTCTCGTGTCGCTTGTCACGCCGTTTTATGGGGGAAAGGGGTGTATAGACCTTTGCGCCGGCCCCACCCTTTCTGATCTGCCGTCGCATATGTCTACGATTTAATTTGGAAAACAGAAAAGATAGAGACTGAGCTATCCATAACATGAAAACTGGTAACTGGACACGAAATGAATATTTAAATTTGTCATTAGCCACAGACGTTAAATTAATTTCCTATAACTGCAGGCTTCATCAAATGATTAAGAGTGTTCCACCATAAGATTACTTATTTAAACGTTTCATGAAGTAGAAACTCCGAATCACAACACATACCAAAAGTTAATTATGATCATGATAAATTGTACTAATACATATTTAAAATATCACTTTCCCAATCATCAATGCGTTTTGACAAAGTAAAAAGAAAGACTTACTTGTGAATGGATCCGGCTGTGCTTGAACCACTTCGACCGCAAGAAGAAGGAGCACTGGAAAATATATACAGGTATTAACTATCATATTATTCTACGTATACGATATGTGACATATATTGTCTAAATCACTGGGAATATCGACAGGAGTTTGCCTGCAAACCCCCAGTTTCACCAATGTTATGCGTGCGATCACTTTGTGTACACTTCATCAACGTTCTGTCGATTTTCCACAGCGATTTATTTGACGTGAAATCAAAGTGCAGACGATAAAATAGTTCCAGATTGCGGACAATGGGGGGAACACGTAGAGAGTACACACTGAATTTACCATAAAGGTCGCAGTCTTTTTTTTTTTATTAATCTAATTCTAGGATTCTGTGGGACGCAGGCCAGAGAGAGAGAGAGAGAGAGAGAGAGAGAATGAAAGAGAATGACACAGAAATCACTTTGCATTACAACGATCACCTACGCCATAAAGGAGAGGAAAGTAAAAATGACAAATTCTCATACCACGTAGGAACGAAAGTGACGAGGATGGGAGGAAGGCACAAAGGAAGGAAGGCAGGAAGGAGACAGCTGCCACAGAGGCACAATCAGCTAAACAGTGCGTTTACCCTTACTAACGCCCCTTCCCAGTTTTTCTAATCTTAATCTGCCGCTGTAATACATTAATTCATTTCATTTTCCATCCCATAGCAAGTAATCGAACCTAACGCGTGGGAATAAGCCGTAATTACTGCCTTTTCCCCGAGTGGAAACGGCAGAAACAATGTTTATATCATTAACTATCTACCACGCAATATTGCAAGCGGCAGCCGCGTCTATCATCGGCAGTTACTTCACCACTCTTGACGCTTGTCAGTTACGGCATTTCCCAAACTTACCAGACTGGATCGAATGAATTAATCTTATGCTAGCTGCTAATTGCTGCCGATATGGTTCATTTGAACCAATTTGCTCTTTATGTCGCGGTTACTTAGTGCATAACATGAAAACCCACCTGTTCCGCAGGTATACGGTTTGAAAATGATCGACCTGTAAAGTTCTCGCTGACGTCAGAGGTTGTCTGAACAAGATCCCCCACTGGCTTAAGGAGCTTTTTTTCCAAAGTTCAAAAGATCAGGATCAGATGCAAGCGTAATAAGATAAATGAGAAATGTTTAACTACAAAATTCAGGGTTATGATTGACAAGTAAAAATGACTCACAGCCTGGAAAGATACTCTTTTGCAATTTATTCCCGAAGGAGTAATATAACTAATTGCCTAGCTCGGTTTACAGTTACATCTTTTTTGTTTGGCATTAGCAATTGACACGACATAAAAGCAAAGACGTCCGATAAAAAAAGCCTTATATAAGTGTATACAGGCCAGTGGCATTTTTAAATAGTAGGTTCTTTTTCAAAAAAGTGAACCTTTTCTTTTTTTCCCACGAAATCATTGTGTTCGTAGATCAAAATTTACCCAGAGCGGACCCTTTCCCGACAAAAAGGGTGGCCCTTTCGAACCCCACCCCTTCTTCCTGTTGCGGACCTGGTTAAGCATGTGAGTTAACAGCCCCTTGCAAAGGAAAGGAGAATTGATGCTAATGCCAATATCGGATCAAAGTAGTGATAAAAGATGTCAATAGGGATAGGTGCTCCTCCCGTGGCTCCAGAGGTACTCCGCCTTCTCTTCCCTTCTTTTAAACAAAATCAGTATAATTAACGAGACAGAACCGAGTAGTTTCCAATCCCTGTACCCTACAACATATGGCAAAATCCATCTACTATTTCTTCTATGCTTTTTACTGCTCTGCATTTTTTTTTCATAATTGCCCTCCCTCCCCAGACATTTGTAAACCCCTATGTTATTATAACGACAGTACAAGAATGCACCGCATTCCAAGCATTTACAAAGCATCACTGTTTCTTTGGCGCAGGTCTTTATTTCTGGCTATCTGGATGAGCAATTTCTTTTGTTGTCGTTGATTTCTATATTATTATCGTCAATGCGAGAATCGGTTTCTTTGCCCGTGATTGCCTTGACGTACCATCAGCTGGTAGTCTGATACAAAAATTGTATATTATTAACATTTTGTATACTATTTTATTAGACCCTGATATCAGTGGGTATGCAAACATGAGTGGATTTTTGTTGGGCATTTATGCAAAAATACACACTAGCCCATGATTAGATGTACGTATATAACAGAACTAAACAGCACCAGAGAGAATAAATACAGTCCGTATGAGAAAATTAGCAATCTTAATCCCCAAATCAAATAAAACATTGATCTCAATAAACATCTCCGGGCTTCAATTGATTTATAAGGGGTCTGTGAAGAAATTGTACCTTGATGTATCTATTCGGAGAAAACTTGACGGCAATTTCACTGATAAAACGACCGCAAAATTTGACAAAAATGCCGTTAGTGATGTTATAAATCTTCGAATATCACTTTGATCCTGAGCTAAAAACGCGTCTGTCAGCATGATTAAGATGAGGTAAAGGCAACCATGAATTACCCATCTCGTAGAATATTTTGCAATTTGGGGAAATGACGGGAAATCGATCCTATTACAGCCAGACTTAAAGAAAGTGTGACGTATATTTCTAGTTTGCGTAAGCTCCCACAGTCAGATATACTGAGATCCCACGCTTGGCATGTGTTTCGACTGGAACGATGTATCCTCTTTCGATAAAACCCAGTCATCGCGTATGTCCAATAAAAACTTACTCACGGGCGGGTAAATAAAAACAGCAATGCACGAGTCTCGGTTGCGAAAGCAGAGAAGGTGCAATGCAAAACTGAGAGAGAGAGAGAGAGAGAGAGAGAAAGAGAGAGAAAGAGAGAGAGAGATGATCAGAGAGGGTAGAGAAAGAGAATGTCACAGAAACCACAATACATTACAACGATCACCTGCGCCATAAATTTTGCGTTTCAGCAACTAGATTTTTAAAACCTCGGATGCCCTTTTATACACTATCTCTAGATCTCAACTCCGGCTTCACTGCGCATCCAACAAACAACTGAAGTTATACACTTTACAACAAAGTATAGCAAAGGCACACTGCGCTATCACTCAGTAATTACTTAGCACCCGCAGGTATGTATTGCACATACACTCTTATACAAGGACTGGTACAGAGGTAGAGATCTTACGCATCGGCGTTCGTTTGATAAGCTCTTCAAATGCACCCTTACGCTCAATTGTGTGCCTTTGATTTGCTTTTAAGTTGGCGTTCATTTGAAAGAGCAGTAAACTAAAGAGCATAGAAACACTTACAGTTATGCTGAGCACGCACGTGGCAGGATAAAAGAAATTGTTCACCTGGCGAAAATGCCCAGTTGGGTCATACAGGTGAGCTATTCTCCCCTAGGCGGGGATGGAAAAAATAGTTGCTGGGTCTGGAATTCGATCGGTCATGTCAGTCATGCCGCCAAGTCATATTGTTTCTATATTTGTTTCCCTGCTGCTTTGCGACAACAGCACACGTTCATTAGAAAAAGGTACCTACATGTAAGTTTTCCTTACCGATAGATATTTATTTATTACAAAATTCCTGCACAGTAATCATTTAAAAGTCATTAGTTACGACATGAAGTAGGTTTTGCCAGTCCCCACCACCCCCCCCCAACACACACACACACACACACACACACACACACACACATACACACACACACACACACGAACAAGGTCCAAAACCACCCCAATCTCTATCGTCTCTTCCAAGCTGTGCATCATTTCCTATACAGTATTTCCCATTACACAATGATTTTAGTATTTATCTGTTCATATGATCTTTTACGTCTCTAATACAGGACTCCTTAACTTGATGTGTCAGCTGAATGGGTTAAGGCACGCAGGTAGGTTTCCTGTGCTAAGAAGGTAGCGCTTGCTTACCCAGGATCTCGAGCACTCTGACTTTTAAACAACCCGTCCAATACCCAAGGCGCCCTGCAGGTAACGCTATCTTTCCCTGAACACCGCAATTCACACATTAACAGTTTCCCTTGGTATTTTATTTATAGACCCATCTGACAGAAATATCCCAACTACACACAGGAAAAGACGATCATAAACAGTGATTCTAAAAGTTACTAAATGATGTTGCAGTCGTACATATAGTCTCGCTGAAACAATGCAGGCCAATTTAACATGGCGATATTGTTGACTTTTCTAAAAAAAAACTTAACACAAGGCACAGCGTCCCAACGTCGTCCCATCACATTTCCGTTAATGTTCATCAAGCGTGTAAGTAGCAAGCACTTCTCAAAATCCATTCCGCTATTACTACATCTATCAGTGCTTGAACGCTTTCGACAAGGACCTCTACATTCACGCTTAAAGATAATATACCCACTTCGTTCACTTACCAAGTCCAATCTCGAGCAGCGTTTGCATTTCCTCGCACCCTTACTTGGAGACGTAGAAATTAACCCGGAAATTAATCACATTTCACTTGGCCGTTTTTGCAGTAAATCACAAACGTATCTATCCAGGTATATTTACAACTACAGTAATTTCGACACTGAGACTTGGGGGATATATTTAACCTGTGGACTACCTTGCTAGGTGTGCGAGTGGCAGTGAAATGCAGGTGGAGCTCTCTTATGACGTCATCCGTTAATATGGTGTAGCCCGGTCGCGCATGCGAATCTAGCGATTTTCCTGAATATTTTAATTTTTCGCTCTGCTGCTTGGGAACTTAACTGACGGCTAACTGAATTATTCCTCATCTCAGACGTACAGTTAAACCAGAACATGGGTCAAACTTGTTGCCGGGGCCCTTGTGTATGGCGTCTGACCGCTTAACGCTGCTTGGGAACTTAACTGACGGCTAACTGAATTATTCCTCATCTCAGACGTACAGTTAAACCAGAACATGGGTCAAACTTGTTGCCGGGGCCCTTGTGTATGGCGTCTGACCGCTTAACGCCGCGGTCATTTCTGACCAAAAGCGCTGCCTTGATTAGGATAGACATAAAATGAATATTTAAACACGTCATTAGCCGCAGACGATAAATTAATTTTCTTTGTCTGCAAGCTAAATCAAATGATGTTAAAAAACGGTGGTGTGAAGTATATTTATAGTTTTACGTTAAATACTGGAAGCCAACATAAGAGGACGAGATAATGTTGTTTTATTGCCTATCACTGCCAGGCATAAAAAAGATTAAAAACATAAACGTTGGTTGAGTATAAAAAGGGCTGGGTTTGCTCGAGAAACAAAAACTGGTTCCCTTTCAATGAAATTGGTGAAACCTTATAAACGGTCATGCCCGACGTTTTTTTTTTTCCCGGAATGTAATAAATACATATAATGTACAAGTATAGGAAACATTCATTTTCTAATTTCAAGAAACAACCGTACCGTTATTAATGAGGGATTTTATTAGTTTAGATTCCTTGTTGTATATGCTAAAACGGCATTAGGATAGGGCTTATTTTGTCCATGGTGAGGGGTTGTAGACTTCGATTACGAGTCCCTTTTCTCTTAGTAGCATTTATTTCAATTGCCTGACCACTGTAAACAAAAACAGCAAATCGAAAGGCCTTGACGGCGATTAAATGTAAAGAATGTGAATATCAGGGGATACCTGTCCCCTGATCTCCGACATAGTCACTACAACAGAGCCTGAACATGGAGAGAGAGAGAGAGAGAGAGAGAGAGAGAGAGAGACTTATTATTTATATTATTATTTGCAAATTGCCTTCTGCATAGATATGGGGATTGTTGACCATAGAGTGTATATGCGTACCAGTAGTAGCCACGCTCTAGTCAAATAGCTCGGCTTCATTTTCCACCACCTGGAATAATGACGTCAAGTGTCGTGTATCTTCTCTACAGCAACAATCCCATCAATTTGGGTGCACCGGTGAAACGTCCCGTTTCACGCTCTAATAACTCTCAGGAAATGTTCACAATGTCAAAAATAACTTATGGCTAAATTAGTTTTTTTGGTCAATGGATACGTTTTAGAGTTCCACTCAAAAACTTGGAAACACATTAAACTGACAAGAAAGATAATGTTCCAAATAGATTGCTATGCTGTGGTTAACCTCGGGAAATATATTTCTTCGATCATAGGCATCGTCTTACATTTTTTATTCTAAGAGCCGTGACGGGTGGAGCTGAATCATAAATCTATCTGCAATGTGAACAATAAGCAAATAAACAAACACATGAATAGATAAATTGATATATGCATAACTTGAACAATTATCGACCAAAAGATGAAACTAATCTACATTGTATATGAATCTTGCAACATTCTATGGAGAAAAAAACATGCTATATCTTTTATTTATTCTGTAAAATGGTTGGTTGAGCTATTCATTACAAGACTGAGTAAGACGAGCATTTGGTCCTGACACTGAAGAAAGAGAAACAGCAATAATAATAAAAAAATGTATCTTGAGTATTACGTGGATCAAACTTTCTTCTTATTAAAGTATCACCTCATGTCTCTTTAAGCTAAGGTGATTTTTTCCATACATTACATAAAATAGAGATAACAAAGGAATGAAATAGGAATTAACATTACGCAATGTCTAACAACCATGTTATTAGAATGATGGCGATGACAATTTTCATAGCGACCTATAGTGTCCGTTGGACATTCTCCTCTGCCCCCCCTCCTCCCCCAATTCATCCTAAAACTGCCACAATTAAAACCCTGTATATACATGTGTATTATCTGCATTCAAAAATATTCTAGAGCCATATTATTTATGTCTACATATTATTCAAACCTGCTTATCGTTCTCAATTCAGACCTTAAAAATTATAAATAAAAAAATTAATAAAATGGAAAATAAATCAACATGTAGTAAAAGTAAATAAAAGTGCCTACTGTCATTGCTTCCTTCTGAAATGTACAGGAAGATATAGCGGTCCATGTGACAGGATAGTCTTTTACAGTTAAATTATTTATTTAGAATTGGTATAAAACAATGAATCATTGTGCAGGGACATGCCGAGCAATGATGTGTGAGAAGGAGAAAATTACTTTTTCTTTTTGGCGAGGAAAATTCGATTGAATGGAGAAAATCCCGGAGTGGATACATTTAACTTGCAGACTAGTCAGAAATCAGTGTTCATCCATAAAATTTCCTAAGCGTAAAAAAAAAATGCAGATTGTCATTATTCTTTTTCAGGGACACAGCGACAAGTTTGGAGCGCCGTGTGCGAGAAGGCACAGTATGAAAGGAGTCACTGTGTGAGCCACGATTCTCAGGGTGGTGATGGTGAACTCGTGGAAATCAGAGATACGATCTCGTCCAAACACCTGTCTGGACTAGCCGGCACCCTGACTACGCAGGTGCTAATTGGAGTGTCTACCGATCAACGTGTTCACACAGAGGCACTCGTCAGGTTTGCTACTGTATGTTTAAGAAAAAGAAACACGGAGATCTACTCGTAGATACTGACTGCTAAAATATCACCCGATGTGCACGCGATTGGATCTGTATATTCTGACCCAGTGCATGTGAATTTAAAACAAGTTTTGTTTCATTTATATTTGAAACAAGTTTGACGCTAAGATTTGTCTCTCACAGTTTTTAATTTTCAAATACGTACCACTAATTTTATAATGTACATACACATATTCATTAAGATTTATTACAAGAGACATCATCATGGGTGTAATCCGTGATGGCTGGGTCAATTAAGCCTTTACAAAGGTGCCATAATCAATAAAAGAACAATTATTATATCATTATATGAAGTAACTGTAAGTGAATATTCTATGTGCAACGGTTTTACAAGCAGAATGGAAATTTGATAGATGTTAATGTGAGGCAGAGACATACATGTACATGTATGTGTTTAATGGATTACTACAGGGGTATACATGTACCAGTAATTGTAAAACGACATTCTGCATCGAATTTATTGCTAAGTGTAGGCATGTGCATGTTCCAGTACCTGGTACGTTTATTTCATGGTCTCTTGACCATCCATTATTTTCAGATGTGATATGTGTTGTACAAATTGTACAGGTACAAGAATTTATGATGAACAAGACGGCCGTTGGCGGTCATCTACTACACAGGCTTTGAAAGCCCGAATGGAATGGAACTTTGTGTACTTATAATCTACTAATGCAGCAATAATCTGCAATACAAATATCATCATTTTTTTTTATTAAAAACCATCTTGTTTGCTATACAAAAGTCCTTAGTCCTAAATAGATCACTATCTACAGTACATGTACCGTAGTTTTAGATATTGTGCTCATCAAACTGCCATTACCACCCTTTCCTTTTAATAATGATGATGATGATAAATCATCTTAATTGATTACAATGATGATAATGAAAATAGAAATGAAGATGATTTTGAAGATGATAATGACAATAATTGTGGCAATGCTATTAGTTGAATTAAATTTTGCCATAACCATTAGACTTTCATTAAAAAGAACTTGGTAATTTTCAAGATCCCTTTATCACTAAGGCATACACCCTATCTAATACCGTTAAAATTTACCGTTTTCAGGTTCTTTATTCTAATTTATCACGTCATGTCCAGTGAAAAAAATTCGCAGGTTTAAATTCTCTCACCATTACGAGAGTGACACAAAATGTGAAAAAAAAAAAGAACTAAATAAAATGGGCATATGGACCGTAATTCTCTAAACGGGTTTGGATATAGCACACCTTTGAGCCTATTAAGAAAAAAATGCTAATATTTCCAGGACAAATTAAATTTCCTTTATGAAGGTATTGTGTGTCAATGTGTGTCTTAAAATGCTTTGGAATAGGCATTGGTATACATGTGTGTGTGTGTGTGTGGGGGGGGGGGGGGGGGGGGGGGGAGGGGGCAGGTTCTGCCGAGTCTGCATAAAACTGTGGCAAAATGTTCAAATTTAACTTACACGGAGTCGCCCATAGGTAGTAGATCTTAAACGGACTCAGATGCAGGCTACGATAGAAACTAATGTTTATGCTTAAACTGTTCAACCTTTTGCACGTCCGTCATTTTTTGCTTTCTTTATCTGTACATGGACATTCATTGCAGCTTTATTCCCCACAGCTGTTTGTAATGTTAAACTATGCTTTCTTAATCTGATATATTTGTTACAGAATTAAATGAGGTATCTCCAAATAAAAAGTAGCGCTGTTCCAAAAGTGCCATCGATTAAATTTTGTCATTTTTTGCCTCGATTGGAAAAGGTAAACACAGGTATTTGATGTTTGTTTTATTGTTAGCAACTGCACCACAAAAATTGTGATTTTTACAACGCAATTGGCATTTTATCAAAGAAATAAACAGATATATTAGAATAACGTTTACTATTAAGGCTATCAACAAACTGTTAAGTCATCATCGCTGTTATTGAAGCAAATTTTGACTCATTTGCTGGGATCAGTTATGATGGTTATGTCACTAGGAGTTAACAATTGAACATAACTTTCATCATCATCATCGCTACTGAAAGAATTACTGATGCTTGTTCCAACTGCGGCATGCAGTTTTGCTATTTTCTGACCATATATCTTTACAATAGAAGGTAAAATACAAGCACATCATTCAGTAGTGAATTTTTAAAGACATTATGGCGCGAT